TCCACACACTCCTCCATGAACCACTGCACAAACTGGGTGTGGGGGCCGGCAGTCCGAGAGCCCAGGATGGAGGAAATGAGCAGGAACAAGTTGGCTGTGCGGGACGGGGGAGAATGAAGAATTCCATGAGAAGGGTCTGAGAAAAGGTTAGACTCTGGGAGAAGGAGAGACTGAAAAGGAAAAAGAAAGAAGTGCTAAGAGTGCCCTCCAAAATGGGGATGTAAAAAGTGGAAATGTAAAAGGAAAATTGGGGCAAGTCAGGAGAGCTAGCAAGTAGGGGAGATGGAGGACATGGTGGGAAAATGTGGCCGGAGGTGGAGGGCACCGGGAGGCCCCCTTCCAGTTGATGAGGCCTTAGCCCCGTTTCAGGAGCGGGGGTGGGAGGACTCACCCAGGACTCGGTTCAGTGGGTCTCTCATGTTGACAGTGTGGAGCTGGGAGGCCGACAAGGAGCTGCTCATGGACCGGTCGGCTGAGGGACCAAGTGGAGGGAACACTAAGAAAATGGCCTCCTGCATTCAAACCGCCTTTCGCGGGGAAGCCCTCCCCCATCAGGTGCGGAGGGAACGCCCAGAAAAGGTCCTTGGGTCCAGAGTCACAGACAGGCCCCAAATACAGAGAACCTCATAAGAAGATGAGAGACAAGAACTAACATTGGTGAGCACCACCAGGCACCAAGTGCTTATGTGGGGGCTGTACGTGGACTAAGCTGCCTAATCCTCACATCTCCATTGTACAGACGAGGAAACTGAGACTCAGATTTGCTAAGTAACTAGCCAAAGGTCATAGGGTTCGTAGGTGGCAGACCCAGTATCTTTCCTCCGCTCAAATGCAGAGGTGGTTTCCTAGTCCCTAAAAGGCCTCAGAGAAACTTCCAGCCTCAGGAGAAATCTCTTAGAAACAAGAAAAATTAAATGCCACAGAAGGAGCCCTTAGCAAGGGAGAGGTAATACCAGCTAGGGAGGTCGAGTGGGGGAGGGGTGCTCTTCAGACAGGAAGAGTGGGGAGCAGCCCTGAGTCCCAGCCCAGGGCTGCTCCAGGCCTCAGAGCTGGTTTTAGGGGAAGGAAAGTCAGAACTGGTGAGTCAACAGCACAGACTGCCCAAGGCAGTGAACTCACTTGGGTAGTTTGTCATTCCCTCCACCTTGTGGTAAGTAAAGGGTGGGGAAGGGACAGTGGTGCCCCACGCTGGGAGTGGATCCCAGCAGATGAGCTTAACCCTTAGGGGAAGATGCACAGCAAGCTTGGGTCTCTCTGGGGTTAGGAAACAGAGCAGCAGTCCATAGGGGACAAAATGGGACGAACGCTTGCCACGCCCTCTCTGACCAGCCAACAAAGATGGCAGTAGTTGCGCATTAGTGCAGAACAGGTAAGCAGGGACAGTTAGTAGCCTGCCCAGACGTCCACATACTCACTGGGACTGGAAAGGATGTTGGCGTCTTCCTCATTGGAGCTCAGCAGTCGCATCAGCTTCGAGGGCTGCATGTCGTCCAAGGGGAAGAGGCTGATATAATCCTGGAGGGCAGGAGACTGACTCACTATTACCCACTCCTGGGTCCCCCAATTACCCGATATTGGGCAAGAGGAGTGGAGCTCAGGTCAGAGTGGGGAAGAGCCAAGTCCACACAGGCCTCCGTCAGCATCTCCAGGGGGCCATCTTCCCTCAGCCCCTCTCCTCACCCCCTCCAACAATCCCAGTGAGACCAGCTCACAGATACCCCCGCAGATGTGGGCCCACCAGGCTGCCAGGGGCAGGGAGCGTGCCTCACTGTCTTTGCCTGGGGAGGCACCTCTTACCAGAAAAGGCTCAGGAAATGTCTGCTGAACAAGGGAAGAGAGGGGTCCCCTACCTCAATGTCTTCACGGTGTCGCTTCTTTTGGCGGGAGGATGCCTGTCCCTTGTGGGAGGAATAGGAACTCAGGGCACACCAGACGGCTAACCTGGCAAAGGGTTCCAGGAAAAGCAGTCAAATTAGAGGGGCCTCAAAAGGGGGCCCCTGTGCCCATGGTGATCTGGCCCCATCTGACAGGGCCTCCCCACCGCCCAGCTTCCCTGGGTGACCCCAGGGAAGGGTGCCCGACACAGGGCTGTGGGGACTTGGGGCTCGGCGAAGACCCCTACTTGGCGAGGGCGGTGCCAGGGGGGTCCATGAGGCTGTGCCACTTGGAGGAGTCAGTGAGCAGGCCAGGCAGGATGTGGCCCAGCAGGACCAGCGTCACCTGCTGCATGTCCAGGCAGAAGACGGAATAGAGCAGCTCCACTGCCCGCAGCGTGTGCTCCTTCCGGGTCTCCTTTAAGAGCTCCTAGATGAGCAGGTGAGGGGGCGTTTAGGAGCTGAGGGCCCGGACATCCCTGCCACTCCAGCCCGGCTCTCTGGGAGGGCACCGGGAGCTCCAGCCGCTGCTCCGTCCCTCACTCTGCCCTGGAGCCTCTGGTCAGAGCTCCCTGAGGAGACAGCTGCCCTCAGAGTCCAGGAGCGCTCTTGAGGCGAGGTCCAGCCTCTGTATTCCAAGGCATCTTCTCGCAGCATTTAAGAGGCCTGCGAGAGAGGCCGGGCTGACCGAGCTGGGTGTGGGGAAGTCAGAAGATGGGACCGAGGTGGGTCCTGTCGGGTATTTTCTCAGATGTCTCCTGGAGCCTGAGGAAACCTGCTCCCCCAGCCCATGTGTCTGGCCCACACCCACCCCACCCCAATACCTTAATCAGGTTGTTGCAGAACCAGTAGACGCCTCCCATGTGCAGCAGAGTGTCAAAGATGTGGATGGAGCGACTGTCCACCCATCCCTTCTCCAGCACCTTGGCAAATATGTCCGTCAGCACCTCCTTGATGGGTCGCTTAGGGGGCAGCAGGTTCCAGTAGGGCATCGTGTCCATGCCCGTGGATGGGAACTTGATCTGTGTGGCCGTCTGCTGCAGCACGTCGGCACACATGTGCTCCAGGATGGAGCTCATGATCACCACCCTGGTGGGGGGAAGGGGAGAGGACCTGAGACTCAAGCACCACCGGCTTCAGGAACCGGGGTGGGGAGGGAAAGAAACACCCAGCCCAGACTTTTCCCAGACTCGGGTTACGGAAATACTGCTGGGGAATGAACCCCATTCTACGCTGAGGGGGGAGGCAAGAGGAAGTTGCAAACCCCTAGAAGAGCTGACCCCACCAGTCCTGCTCCCGGAAGGACTCTCACCTGCTGGGCACAAAGCCCATTGGGGGCGGTCTCCTCCCCTAGGTTGTTCCAACAACATATTCCTATTTTCTCTCTCTCCAGCTTCCCCCATCCCCCAGGCCTGGCCCTGCCAATCCTCTGGCATAAATAAATATAATCACTTCCCTCTATGCTGAGTGCTTAAGGGGGATCCCGCCCAGCCTTGGCCTCCTCCCAAAGTAAACTGTTACTTCCAGGACAGGGGCCCAAGGGTTGCCCCACAGGACTCTTCCCGGCCCTTGGTAGCTGGGCAAGTGTAAGTGTATATCCAGGAATTTTCTCACGAAGAGTCTTCGACTGTGAATACAGACCTGGGTCTGAGTGCTAACTGTTCCTGGAATGCTGGGTGGCTCTGGGAAAGTTGCTAGGACTCCGTGAGCCACTTTTTCTACCTGAATGATGGAGCCACAGACTTCCCACGATTCCTCACCCAGCTAGGAGTCAGGGTGCTTAGAATGGATTATGTCAGAGCAAACACTCCACTACTTGTGGGGTGAGGATGATGAGGGAAGGAAGGAGGCAAGGGAAAAATAGGAGATGAGATTTCACAGACCCTCCCCAACGTCACTTCAGCTCAATTTTCCACTTCTCCCTTATAACATATCCTGATGCCTACCTTATTAGTCATCACTCATGATTTATCAGTTGGTTCATGGCCATGTTCATAGCATCACTATACCCAACAGTCAAGAGGTGGGAGACACCGCAACGGATGAATGGATAAGCAAAATATGGCATACACATATAATGGCATATTATTCAACCTTAAAAAGGAAAGAAATTCTGCCATGTGCCACGACATGGACGAACCTTGGGGACATCATGCTAAGTGAAATATGCCAGTCACAAAAAGACAAATACATGGGGTACCTAAACTAGTCAAATTCACAGAAACAGCAAGTAGAATGCTAGGGGTTTACAAGCTAGGGGGAGGGGGAAAAGGGTAAGTTGTTGCTTAACGGGTACAGAGTTTCAGATTTACAAGATGAAATTCTGGAGATCTGTTTCCTAACAATGTGACTATACTTAACACTACTGAACTGTACACTTAAAAATAGTTGTTAGGGGGCCAGCCGAGTGGCTCAGTT